CCTGGAGAGGGTGGGGGCAGGGTGAGCCATGAAAGGTTTGAGGAGGGATGAAAAGATTTGGAAGTGCTGTGCCAAGTGGCATAGTGAGTTGGTATGGGAGGAATGGTAGGACTGCCTAGTAGCAGTGAGGGCCCCATTGAGGTTACATAACATAAACATAGAGGACTCAGTCAGAAGACACAGCAGTGTGATTAGCGGCACATGAATTGAAAAGAAGAGCAGGTGGCAGAAATGATCCAAGGCTGAGGTTTGGCAATGCAAAATCAGCAAAATGATAAGGAGGTAAGATCAAGAGATCAGGACAGTACGAAGTTGAATTGGTTCACCAAGGAAGCAGGATGAGGAAAAGAGGAGAGAGTGGCTAATACAGGGCAGATGGCCTGGGGGAGAATGGAGGGGTCAAGATATTGGAGGTCATGGTATTGATGAAGAGTAGAATTTTGCAAGGGAAGGCAGAGGGAGAGGTAGGAACCCAATAGGTTATGGTCAAATAAGGGGACTTTGGAATTCTTGAACACAGAAGTGGTACATTTGTGGGTGATGGCCAGAGCAAGGGTATGACCATCACTGTGCGTGACTCAAGTGGGTAGAGGAGTAGCTCAGGGGAGATGATTATTGAGGAACTGAGTGGTTAGGGTATTTGAGGGAGTTAATAGGTATGTTGAAGTCCCCTAGTATGAGAGCAGGAGTTGGGATTTATGACTAGAATATACCTATTAAAAATATACCTCTTTCAAAAGAAACTATATAGAAAAAGAGAGTTTTAGTAGTATTTTATGTGAATAAGACATTGTCATATAGGGAAATCCAATCACCTAAGTAAGGATAAAAAAAAGTGTTTAGATAAAGCTCAATGGAGAGAAAAGCAAAAGTGATGTTTTGGGAGATATATTAAAGACTCCCTGGACTGGAAGAGGAAGGAAATTATTCACAAACTTGGCATAGGGGTATAATAGAGTAGTGATGAGGACCTTCAGTTATTTGGAAATCTTTTAGAGATCTCCCTTAGCCAAAAGCAGAGCAGATGATAAATTATTTTAATTTTTTAAAATGTATGTCTTTTGACTGATGGTGTCTGAAGTATACTTTATCCGCCCTCCCTTCTATCTCCACCCCCCTTTCTCTTCTCCCCTTCCCCTTCCATTTTCCTGTAGGGCAGGATAGATTTCTATACCCCATTGCCTGCATATCTTTGAAGCATACTTTTTTAACTTTATTTTTCTTGAGGTTTTTTGGAGAAGGTCTATGTTTTCTTTCACAAGAGGGGTAATATGGAAATGTTTTGTATGGCTGTACATGTATAACCTGTGTGTGATTGCTTAACTTCTCAGTGAGGGGTAGGGGTTGGGGAGAGAGGAAAGGAGAGAATTAGGAACTCAAAGTTTTAAGAATGAATGTTAAAAATTATTTTTACATGTAACTGGGGAAAAATAAAATACTAAATAAGTTAAAAAATGTATGTCTTTCATTATATGACATTCCTTTTTTTTCTTACATTCTTAAGACTTTTGAATCTGTTTTTCTTTACAAAGTCCTTTCCTGATTCTGCTCGCTTAATTCTGCATCAATTCATATAAGTCTTCAGATTTATACAGGATTCTCTGAAACCATCTCATTTGTCATTTACAATACAATATTATTCCATTATATTCATATAACATAATTGGTTTAGACCTTGCCCCATTGATAGATACCCCCTTTCTAATCCTTTGCTACAACAAAAAGTTATTACATTCATTTCTGAATATTTCCCTCCCCCCACCTTTACCCAACAAGTCATGCCCCTATAACAGATTAAAAAATAAAGAAGAAAAAAAACCTTGCTAAAACCAACAACCAAAACCAGCTGTATCCCACAGTATATGCAATATTAAACACCCATAGGCTTTCTATTTCAGCAGCAAGGGGAATGAGGTTCATTTTTTCAACTCTTCTCCAGGCCCAAACTTGGTCATTATGTAGCTAGTATTCATACAGCACTTTAGATTTGCAAAACATTTGATATATATTATCTCTCAACGGAGCCTTATAATAACCCTGTGAGGTAAATGCTGTCATCATCCCCATTTTACAGATGAGGAAACTGAGGCTATGAATGGTTATGTGACTTGGCCAGGGTCAAACAGCTAGTAGATGTTTGAGGCAGGCTTTGCAATGAGGTCTTCCTGATGCCAAGTCCAACGAGTCTCCACTGGGCCGTCGAGTTGTCCATCTTAAAATTACATCTTATTGGGTTTTTTCCCCATCTACATTATTCTAACCACAGTATATATTGGTTCTGCTTGCTTCAGTCTACATCAGTCCATAGTCTTCCTTCCCATGCTTTCCTGAATTCTTTTTACTCATTTTTTTACAATGCCATCATACTCCTTTACGTTCATATGCCACCATTTGTGTAGCTATTTCCCCAAATAACGGTCATTACTTCATTTCCAATTCTTTGCTCCCACAAAAAGTGCTGCAATGAATATTTTTACCTATATGGGACTTTTCTTCTTATTCTTGACTTCACTGGGATATGTATGTAGCAGTGGGCTCTCTGTATCAAAGGGTAGAGACATTTTCATCATTTTTTTAAAAAATATAATTCCAACTTGCTTTCCAGAACAATGGAACCAATGCACAACTCGGCCAAGAGTGCATTAGTGTGCCCATCTTCCAGGCATAACTTTAACATCAACTATTTCCACCCTTTGTTATCTTTGTGGATTTTCTGGGTGTGAGGCGAAATCTTAGAGCTGTTCTGATCTGCACTTCTAATTATGAGCGATTTAAATCAATAGTTGTTAATAATTTGTGATCCCTTTGGAGCCATTCATTCATCTCCTCTGACTATGTATATATCCATTGGAGATCAGCTTAGTTTTTTTATATTTGTGTTAATTCCCTATGTATGTTAGATACCTTGACAATTTCATGTAACTAAAATGATCTGTTTGCTTTTTTGTGAAGCCAATACATTCTTGGCTGGCTTTAATGATAATTTCATTCTTCTAAAAAGCAGAGGTGACAAGGGGACTCAGAGTCTGAGCGGTAAAAAAAAGGATTAGTTGTTAAAGTAGAAATGATGGGAAACTCAACAGGAGGTGGTCACTTCCTCTTGGCATTCCTGATAAAGGAGGGGGAAAGTCATGCCAAGTCTGATACGCACTGTAGATATTTTTTTTTTTTTGAGAGTCAATTTCAGGTTCAGAGATAAGATGGGTAGTCTCATAGCCCAAGAACGGTGAGAAGGTATAAGAATAAAATTCTATCTTTGGTTTTTTTTTTGGGAGGGGTTAGACAATGGAGTTAAGTGACTTGCCCAGGGTCACACAGCTAGTAAGTGTTATGTGTCTGAGGTCAGATTTGAACTCAGGTCCTCCTGAATCCAGGGCCATTGCTCTATCCACTGTGCCACCTAGCTGCCCCAAGAATAAAATTCTAAAGACACACAGAAACAATACCACTAGAAAAGCAAAACAAGCTCCAAAGAGACTTCAGTAGAGGCACAGAGAATCAATCTCACGGTTACTTCCGGGTAGTTCCCTTGATCAATTTGATGACCTTACCTTTCTCCTTGTAAAACAGAGGTCTTAAACATTTATGGGGAGGGGGATCACGGACTCCTGAGGCAGTCTGGTGAAGCCTAAGGACCCCTTCTCAGAAGACTGTTTTAAAATGGATACAATAATAGCTAGTGCGGAAATGTTTTGCATAACTTTCTATGCATAAGGGTATATGACAGGTATCACATTTCTTGCCTTCTCAATGGGTGGGCAAGGGGCTGGAGGGAATTGGAAACTGAAAATAAAAATAAGATTTCAAAAAATGCATACAATAAAATACATCGTATTAGTAGGGAGATGAATTATATTGAAGCGTAGTTATCAAAATGTTAGAAAACCAAATTCAAGGACCCCAGGTTTTGGACAGTACCCTTGGCAAGGTGACCACAGGCTACCCCTTTGTTCTCAGTGACCGGGGCTTCACTAAGATGAACTGGCTAGGTGGGGTCCTCCCAGGGGATGGGTTTTGGGAATGGGTCTGTCACAAGATGGATTTGGTCTGCTGGGTCTCAGGATGATGGGTTCATGTTGGAGATGCCACACGTCTGTTAACATCTATAGAAGTGAGCCAAGAAATCTGCTCCTCTCTTTCGGACCTCGTTTTCACCTTTTCCCCTGGCACCCTTTTTCTAGAAGCATGGTGGGGTTGGTGGAAGAAGAGTTGCCTTCTGCTCCATGACCAAAGAACAGACGATGGAGATTTGCAGCAGAAGCATATGGAAAATTGTATGTGTTTTGCCCAGGTGGCCAGAGAAGGGAATCATTGGACCTCAAGTTCCTAGCCACAGTCTCTCTTTCTAAGCACAGGTCAGAAACTGGAGAAATGAGAATGAACAAAGAATTAGTAACAGCCGGTATAGTGTTGGAACACCATGAGTTTGAGTTCCTGCAGGAGTCCGTGCCAGAGGTAGACACATTCTAGTCCACGGGGCCTGAAGGCGAGAGGGAGGGACTTTGACCTCCTAGGGAACATGATGTCAGAATATATGATGTCGGTCTTCCAATCAGAGAAGAGAGATTTCTTGGGCAGCACTATCCTTAAAAGTTGCTTCAGGAATAACTCCAAGTTCATCAGTTCCTGGGCAGTGTGTTTCTTGGGGAAAAAAGAGGATTACCTACATAACCCCTGAAGTTAGACTAAGTTCTCTACATGGTGGGACAAGAAATGGAACTTGCCACTTCTCACTACTATAGCAGGCTGTTTAGACAATGCACCTTTGATGGTGAGGGGGACACTCATCAAACAACTCCAGTGTGTTTTCCTTTTGGGGTTGAAATTGTAGGAAGTACTACAAGTCTGGGAGGGACTATATAGAATTCTGCAGCACAGCTACTGAATCAGCAAAATGTTAAGAGTATTGCCCCCCCGGACAATCCCGAGTTTCATTCTTTTCAAGGGAAACAATTTCAAGTACTTTATGTACCCTCTATATATTTTTATGAAGTCTGGAGTTCTTTGCATGCCTTATATGTTTATTTCATCTATTTATGGGCCCCTTTGCATCATCTACATTTTCTGTGGAGGCTATCCTATACCTGACAGGCATATGTTAACATGAATGCTTGTATAAGAATCAGAGACCACGCCCCCTCCTCTTTATGAACATCTGTGGAAACCTAAGACATGAACTATAACTACAGTAAACTCAAGAGCAGTGGGGCATAATGAACCAAAAGAGAATATGAACTTTCAGGGATATTTTACCCCTAACCCCAGGATCACACAACTACTAGGATCTGAGCCAGGATTTGAACCCAAATCTTTCTAATTCCAAGTCCAGCACTCTATCTATCATACCATGTAGATTTCACATAAGGACAACTTCCTAACAACCAGTAATCCAAAAATGGACTAGGTTGTTCTCTGGAGGTGGTGGGCTACCCCTCCCTAGAAACCTTAGACAAAAAGCTGGTTGACTCCTTTTCAGGAACAGCGTCCCATTTAGGACGCACTATGGCCTCCGAGGTCTCTTCACCAAACCTGAGATGATGTGATCTTGAGATATTGGGGCCCTGCTTCCTCTGGGAGCCCACCTCGGCTTGCAGACCATCAGTCAGAGGGATACTGGAGTAAATTTGTTTTAATGTGCTGAAATGCAGCCATTCTATAAAACGAGGTACACCTGTGCTGAGTGTGCATCGTGGGGTGAGGAAGAGGTAGGGATTGAGTCTACGTGACCAGAATAGGGGATCAGGTCCCCTGGCCTCTTCCCCTCCCCTGCCTCCCACTTCTGGATTCACCTTCCAAATGCATGTTTTCATCTATCTGCTCTCTCATTTTCCCTCTTTGAGGGAATTGATAAGATCTAAAACGATGCTGGGTTCTGTTGTCCCCATTCTCGGACAATTCTGGTCAGACAGAATGCAGCATGTCATGGGCTTTGAGTTGCAGGGAAATAGGTTGGACAATTTGGGGGAACCAAGAGAAGGAGAAAAGGAGAAGGGGTTTGAGCTGAGGTCTGTGAAGCAGGAAATAGAGACTTGTCACTTGTCACCCCAACAGCCTAGGGGTCAAGAAATTGAGGGTGGAGGCATAGCAAGGGGGTTCTCAGCCCTACTCAGACCCCAGAGAGGAGCTTGTCCTGGACAAAACGGGGGTGGGGTGAGGACGAGATCAGAGGTTAGGTGGTAGATAGATAACTCCACCTGCCCAGGGGTTGGGAATCCCCTGGGTCAGAGATTAGAAGGCAAATGTCCTCCCTTCCCCAGAGTCAAAGGTCAGGGGGCCTTGGGCATTGGGTGTTAGGCGGCAGGTGCTCTTTGGGGTCAAAGGCAGTATGGTCCTCAGGTTCCAGGGTTGGGAAGCAGGAGGTCCCTTCAGCCACTGTCCCAGCCCAGCCTCCAGGCCTGTCTGAGTATAATTCCTGGTTTTTCTCTTTCCACCTCCGAAACTTCTCGGAAGTCAACATGGGGTCATTCAGCACCTCATCCAGGACCTGCAGCTCCTGAAGCTTCGCCTGGAGACCAGGAGGACGGGGGGCACAGAGGCTGAGCATCTTCCCAAGTCCCCCCAGTCACCCAGCCCAGTCTCTCCTCTTCCTTCCCAAGACTATGGCCGTGGCCAGGGCTCACCTTGAGCGTGCTCTGCAGGCATCGCACGTGATGGGCCCGCTCGTTGAGCTGGGGGTCACGAGCACGGCGCAGGAAAGAGCGGCGACATTGTTCCTGGGTCAAGAACTGGGGGCGCCCCAGAAAGGACACGCCCCCCTGCTGTAGGCCCTGGACCAGGTGCTCCAGAGCTCCCTCGCTGCTGCTGTCTGAGGCTGGGGAGATGCATGGCACAGGGACAAGACCCCAGGGTCATGCCCCCCTCTGAAGTATCCCTCTTTTACCCCTCTTGAAGGTCCCCACATCCTTCTCCACCTTTTGCTCCCAAGCACCCACACATCCCCAGCCTTTGTGCACTGTTCATTGTCTCCCCATCTGCAGTGGATACCTGATGAAGGGCTATGTGACACTGTGGGGCTGCCTTGGGGGGTCGTGGCTGAGGGGAAGACACCTCCAGGGGGAGAGCTCCAGACTCCTATTGGGCTGGGCTGAGAGACAGACACGGTGTTAACCCAGGCTTCTTCCAAAACACCCCTCCCCACTACAAATCTTCATCCCTTCCCTCTCACCCCCTGGGCACTCACTGAGGTTGAGCGAGACCCTGCTTCCTCATCTGGGTCTTCTGCTTCTGTCTCACTATAACACTCTGGGGGGAATAGGAAGGGACAGTTTGAGGCTCAGGGGGTGGGGCCTTCTGGACCAGGAAACGGGGCTGAGGACTCTGGGCTACCCTTTCTCATGTTCTGGCAGATCATAGGGAAGGGGAGGGAGGGGGTGAATTTCTCCCAGGAGAGTGGTACCCCACCCCTGACCTTGGTAGTATGCAGGGGAGGATCTCTGGGAAAGAAAAGGGTCCATGTCTCAAGGACCACCCTCACCTTCCTCTTTGGGCATAGGACTTTGGCTCTGAGACTTGTACTTGGAAATGCAAGTCACCAGCTGGCGCACCCACCTGTCAAAAAAGGGAAAGGGGTAAGTGGTCATGGGCAAAAGGGAGGGCACGGTAGGTGGGAAAGGTGGGCATGTACCTTTGACCTCAATCTAGTCAACTAGTACAAAAGAGGATAGGGGAGGTTGAGAGGGAGAGGGAGAAGAGTTTCCCTCACTAAGTGTGGTAGAGAAGGGAAGGTTTGGGGAAAAGA